ACAGAAAGAATGCGTTCGGTCCATCGGTAACAATGCTAGAAAAAACGCATCACTTCATCTGGTATCTAGAAGGCTGTCGTAAAACAAACACGGAATGTTCCGCAACTCTGACAAATGACAACACAACGATGAATGCAGTTTGCTCGGCCACGGAGACTCGAGCATTCACAACAAAAAGATCAGACGATTCTGGAAATCATGAAATCATCCACCTTGACTGTCATGGTTATCATCTCGGTTCTCCTTTTCATTGCTCGTTTTGTCTACCGCGGTGTCAGTGGGCTTGACGGTTGCGGAGCTCAAATTGATCGCAATCCGTTTGGGTGCTGCGCTGGTAGTCGTATTGCCCAGAGTCGACCCTTTTTCGTTGGATGAAAGAGAGCCAATAGACACGCTTCGTTTCCGGCGCAGAAGCCCGGCACTCCCAGGTCCTGCATTGACTGAGCTTCGTCGTTTGGGGCCGGTTGTAAGCTTCATCAGTTCGTCATCATCTTCCTCTTCGCGTCGGCGCTTCTCCGACAGTCTTTCCGGTGGGGTCTGTATCGTCAACGAGACGGGCGTGGACGGTGCCTCCTCAGATGACTCCATGGCAGTGTCTCGACTGGGGTCCTCCTGTGATGACGATTCTTGCTTTGGCTGCGTCTGGTCTTCAACCTTGGTATCCATCGCGTCGTCTTCGTCGTCATCATCGGGATAATCAACTAGGGACTTCACTACGGGCGATGCTGCGCCATTCTGCGGGTGTGCAGAAATGGCTGTGTTCTGTTGGGGATCCTGCTGCCACTATAGTACATGGTCAATACTTCAGACTGTCTGTTTCCTGGCTGATGCGACTTACCTCTTCTTCATCATCCGAGGTGTTGAAGTATTCTTCCTCTGCAGCATCCATCTCCTTGACCCCTTGCCAGCGCGACCCATTGGCTTGCATCCGCTGACCTGGCAATTCTTCTTCCTGGGAGTATAGAGTCGAGTCTGCCTCCTCTGCGCCGTAGCCCTGCAATTGCTCGTAGCGTAGGTACAGAGTTTGGAACGTGTCCACATAGGTGATGTTCTTGATCTGCTCGCCATATTTCTCCACCAGATGGAGAACGATGGGCTTAATGTTCTCGCGCTTGATGTACTCGAAGAGTTCAAGACAGGCCGAGTTCAGAAGGTTGTCACGTGGCATAGACTGGTAGACGATATCGAGGATCAGACCAAACGTGTTGTTGCGGGTCATCATAGCTTGGTAGAAGGTATCTTGGAGACTTATTAAAGTGCGAAAGAACTTCAGGGCAGCTGAGGAGAATTAGAAGTCAGTTTTTAGCAGACCAACACAATTATCGTGGCGACCTACTCAGTTTGAGATGCTTCTGGGGCACAGTGAGTAATTGAGCGACTCGAGGGGCGAGCGACTCGTCATGGATCACATTGCGAGAACGGTATAAATGCTGGCGCACGAAAAATGTAAGAATATCGACAAGATGCGAATACAGCGTTACATCTTGGAATGTGAGGTCATTCACTGCGAAAGGTGGTGGCGCCACGGTCAGCAACCATCAGGCGATGGCATAAAATAGCAAAACTCACGATTATCGCTATTTTCGAGTCGCTTCAGAGGCCAAAACAGCCTCCTGGCAGACTCGTCGAAATGGTTCTGGACAAATGTATCCGAAAAGATATTGGAACGTGGCTTGTTGAAGTGCTCGGGTCCAGCCCGAGCCATGGCGTCCGGCATTGGAATTTGTGGATCTAGCAGGACCTTGATCGCATCGGCAAGCTGATTCTTAACTCCGAGGTCGGTTTCCGTGTGCAGCAGGTCGATCAAAGTATCTGTAAGGGGCGTTTTCTTCTCGCTGACGGCCTTGAGCATATATCCGCGCATCATGATCTGATCGTGGTCGAGGAGAGAGACCAGAAGATCAATGCCTGTCGTGCGCAATGGTGGCTTGGGGTGTTTGATGGCAAATGCGATCACAGCGAAAAGGCCATGGTTGATGAAATTGGCAAAGAGGTTCGCACGCGCCGGCGCTTGCAAGTTCTTTGCGATGACCGCGCATTGATGAAGGAATTGGACCGCATCCTCCTTGCGCTTGTTGTCGGCGTTTCGGGGGTCGAAGACTGTAAAGAGTTCCTTCAAGAATTGCGCGTTGGATTGTATATGATTAACGATTTCCACCTGGTTGAAGAAGATCAAGGAGTTTAGCACTGAAAATGTAGGATCATCTAGGATCCTAGCCAGAACCACGTCTTTGAGGTACTGTAAGCGCCAGGTGTATCGGATCTTGCGACGAATGAGAGGGTCCTTGATGGGGACCACTTCTTTGTAACGCGTCTGGTCTGCGAGGTACTGGCGATGGTTGGCCTTGTGGGTAGGAAACTCGGGGTCGTCTACAGACCATTAGCAATTTCCTCAGTGCACGGCGCTGCCATGGGGATTCATACATTCCAATGCTCCAACGACCCCCAGGATGACGGGGTCTGTGACCACGGTTTCGATGATCGTGTTGTCGTTGAGTAGGATCAGTGACTTCATGATATTGCAAAGACGATGTAGATCCGGAAGGCTTTCGAGGTCTTCCGCCATTGAGACCAGAGGGATGAGTTTCGGAATATACTCATCACGAATGACTAATTTGGAAAGAGCATCGCGGCCGGCTTGAGTTATGCTCGAGGTCCTCATGATGTGGTCGATTTCGGGAAGATTGCCTAGGTCGGGCGCCGGCAGCATAATCGACTGGTAGCTCTCGATCTCGTCGGACAAGGCATCTTCTAGGCACAACGGAATGACCAGGTCAGCAAAAGATCCTATCATCAGCTATCGCGGCAGCGTAGCCTGGATGGAGATGGGAGAAAATCTAACCTCCCGGCGCCAAACTGAGCAGATGTTGCTGCACGTTGTTGACGAAGTCCCTTCGGAGACTCAGTCAGTCTTCGGCTTGACTCATTTCCATCCCCGTTCCGAGCTGGGCTCGATGCGCCTTACCAGATGACCGCGCACCCTTCGGCTTCCTGAAAACTGAGTGCCATGTCCGTTCCATTGGGCTCTGTCCATACAATCAATGTCTCTGATGGGGTCGCGTGATGGTCAGTGATGGTTCTTGTACGACTTGTCGCGTGCGCAATGGACGGGAAGCGCGCAGGAGGGGTGGCACCTTGTTGCTTCTGGTATCCGTCATCCTTGGAGATCTTGGTCTCCAACAGCACCCGGTTGGGTTCATCTTCCGACTCGACGAAAATCCGCGGCTCATCCTAGCCATGGCGTGGACTGGTTAGCGATGGAATCTTCATGGAAGCGACCAAGCGCGCGCCCGACGGCGATGGTGCGTTTGCGCCCGACGAGCGGGCGACGCAGCAGTCGCGCGGCGGACAGCAGGTGGAAGGGACACAACTCACATCCAGGATCTGACCGGTGCAGAAGCCGGTGCCTCGATCGAACCAGTCATTATCTCTGAGTTCGTAGACCTTCACCCGCTTGCGATCGCTGGGTGGTTGCACCTCCAACGCCATGGTCCGGCAAAACGGAGAGGTGGCGTCTCGTCACTCCGGGACAACTCAGGAACGAGTGTTCCGGCGCGAGGAGAGCCCCAACGGAAGGGAAGGCGGAGAGAAAGATAAGAAAAGGCCGCGGCTTGGTCCAGATTGGACGGAGGATGTGCGGAAGGGAAGGGAAGGGAAAGAAGTGGGGAATGGGAGGAAAAAGCGGGAAAGGTTAAAAAAGGGAGAAAGAAGGGGAGAGGGAAAAGAATGATGATGTGGATGTGTGGATGTGTGGATGTGTGGTGGATGTGATATGATGTGATAATCAGGTCAGGTGGAGGGGGGAGAGGAGGAAGAGAAGGAAGGGAAGAGGAGACGGAGAAAAGAGGGGACGGGAGGATGGAAGCAAGCAAACGACGAGTACAGGCAGAGAAGGAGGTTAAGGAGACGGAGGTGTTGTGTGTAGGTGGAAAGGATGAGAGTAGACCTGGAGGTCTGGGAGGAAGGAAAATGATGTAAAAGGGAAGAAAAGTGACAGGCAAAAAAAATAAAGATAGCAGCAGTACTCCGTACAGGTAAGAAGATGGAGACGGGGAAAGGTTAGTTAGCTGCTGCTTGTTGCTTGCTTGCTTGCTTGCTGCTGCTGCTGCTGCTGCTGCTTCCCTCACAGCTTGTACAGTACAGCACTTGCGCCTATGCTTCTGCTTCTGCTTCTACTTCTGCTTCTGCTTCTGCTTGTTCTTCGATGATGAATGAGGATCCTTCCTGACTTTGGCGTCGGGACCACCTGACGGCCTCGGCAACTGTCTTGTCTGCCTGTCTGTCTGTGCCAGAGTCTGCCTGCCTACCTATCTGCCTATCTGTCTCGGAGAGGGAAAAGAAAATAGACCGGACAACAACCACACAACCGTACTGAACACTACCTAAGGGATTGGAATTGCTCAACAAATCGGGAGCTTATCAGAGCCAAGCTGAACAGGACAACGTCCGATATACGGCAACCCACCAGCTGCCAGCCAGCAGTAAGTCCAGGTGGAGTACTATAAAGGGCCAGCTCGGGGATCTGCAGCGAAAGCGGAGCGAGCAATTGAAGACTTGAAACCTTTCCGTCAATCCGTCTACACCTACCTGACTATACCGGTAGCTATAAATTTATCTGCGTGTTTATCAATAAAGAAGGGTCTTGCCGATGACGTGCGCGTCCCCGGAAAGGTTTCAGGCCAGCCCTGAGGATTCAGGATAAGAATAGCCCTCCAGCCGCTAGGGTGTCGGGGGGGGTCGGGAAGTCGGACCTTACAGCAGGATGCTTCTTCTTCTTGTCCCATGTGGATGGATGTGATACTGAATAGGTCCCATTTGTGGTTATTGTGGTTAAGGTTGGGTCACCGGGTTGTCAGTCGGTCAGTCGGTCGGTCGGTCGGTCGGTCAAGGGGTGGAATGGCAAAATGGCACTGCAAGGAGGAGAGAAGACCAAAAAGGTTCTAGCTCCGTCACTTCTTATTGTTCCCCCCATCGTCAGATATTTGAATTGTTCTATAATTGTTCCATAAGGTACACTACTAACAAGAAGAGTGTGTGTCCGCAACTGTAATCATCATCCCGGGACCCCACGCATTCAATATCCATGGAACCTTTGAGTGGATATGTAATAAGCTACCACTTCAGCCTCAAAACGGACGATCTCTAACGTAGGGGAGCGAAAGAATTGCATTGTTGTCTCCTGCCTCCGGGTCATTCCGCCTCTATCCACCGTTGATAGCGAAGGAACAGGATGTCCATGACCGAGATCGGGGCTCCTACTCAGTTGGGCAGCGACCAGTCCCCAAGCTTAACCCGAGACTGCCTGAAGACGGTTGCACTACCGATACGGATCACTGCGCCTGTGTTCCCCCTCGGTCAATAGATGAACCAAGGGGAGGGGCGATGCGGATGGGTCATGTGGGGGATGCTGCGTCACCAAACATGCTCGATTCTTTGAATCATGCCGAAGCAAATCCGCCATTACCCTCCAGGAATGACGGGGGCCTGAGCTGTGCGGTTGTCAGTGAGCGGATCGGAACATCTTCCAGAAAGATGGCAAAATGGATGAATGAAGGCGATTGACGGAGGACAGGGCCGGGTTGGAGACCCGATGAGATCATTGCGCAAAGCCTAATTCTGGGTGCCTGGGGCAGTGAATGTGGCAAGATGCATGTGACTATACTCCGTAGCAGGATAACTTTTCTGTGTTGGCCAAAGAAGCCTGTTGGTATTAGCTATACTCGAGCAAATATACAGTCTCTAACTTGCTACCAAGCAACTTACATACTACCGGTATATGCCGGAATCCTACGAATTTATATACAAACTCCCTTCCCCCTGTAAGGCGAGAAAGTGGATGTTCCGTGCAGGAACGCTAAGATCAGTGCATGGATGCGGAGGTGGCACCCAGGCATCTACCTCAAAATGCTGCAGACTGTACGAGGGATCCCTCATTAGCATCAGATAGCTATTCTTATCGCGGCCACTCCTTGGTAGTGGGTGTGTTCCAGACTGCTACCAGCTAAGTTACCTGCTAAGCGTTGGATGATCCCTGATAGCCGACGCGGGTCAGCTCCCTTATCGGGCCCGAGCGGTAGGGATCATGGATCATGGATCCACATGAGGGGTGCGACCCGTGATTGGCCGCGAAGCACATGACGGGAGGGCGGATCTGATTGACTAGGTTGGCGATTACATAACTAACTTATACTCGGTAACTAGTAGAGTAGAAAGTCCTCTCCACTTTCCGGTTGGCTTCCTCGTGACTTTCTTCAGCCTTCATATCTTCAATTCAGACAGCCGTTGGGTCTGATATAACCAACTGCCATCCGCGAGCGACTTCGGGAGCTTTGCGCTCGTGCGGGTGGGAAAGCTCCCATCGGTGTGTCGATACTCCAGCCGTTTTAGAAAAGTCTGTTGCAGCAGCCATGACACATTCTGCTGTGTCCCATGGCACAGACGATGCTGGGGCTGGCCCATCGTCCACGGGCACCGATCTCGGTCGTGCCCATATACCACTACCGTCCAAACCCGATACCTCCGCTACCTCTGATGTATATACTACCGGCGACGGTAGCACCGACGCAGTGGACTCGGAACACGCAACAACAGCGAACCCTCCCACCGACAAACAGCAAAGCCCGCTCGCCTACCTGACCACCCGAGAATTCTACATCACCCTCCTCCTGGGGTAAGACCATCTTCACACCAGTTACAAACAGTCCTTAGCATCTCACTAAGTCACGTACAGTCAAATCCTCGCCATCACCAACACAGCGTGCAGCACCTTCAGCACCCTCTTAGCCGACCGAGGCGTCTCCCTGCCGGCCACGCAGACCTTCTTCAACTACCTCCTGCTGACCGTGATCTTCACCTCCTACACAATCCACCGCCACGGGCTCCAGGGCTGGACCCAGAGCTTCCTGTCTCGCGGTTGGAAATGTACGATATGCCCCCATCCCCAACCCCATCCCCCCTCCACACCCGACAAACTAACCCCGCCCCCCCCAAAAAAACCAGACCTCCTCCTCTCCCTCTTCGACGTGGAAGGCAACTACTTCCTCGTTCTGGCCTACCGCAACACGACCCTCCTCAGCGCCCAACTCATCAACTTCTGGGCCATCGCCATCGTGGTCCTAATCTCCTCGACCGTCCTGGGCGTGCACTACCACCGACCCCAACTCCTCGGGATCTCCATCTGCATAACGGGGATGCTCCTCCTCCTCTTCTCCGACCGCACCCCACCCGCCTCCGCTCACAACAAACTGCTCGGCGACCTCTCCGCCCTAAGCGGCGCAACCAGCTACGGCCTCGCCAACGTCCTCGAAGAAGTGCTGGTGACCACCGCCCCGATCGCCGAGGTGCTCGGCCAGATGGCGCTGTGCGGGGCGTGCATCACCGCGCTGCAGGCCGTGGCGCTGGGGGAGCTGTCCGCCCTCCGCAGCAGCAGCACTGTGTGGGATGCAAGGGTCCTGGGGTGGTGGGCCGCGTACACGCTCTGCCTCGCCGCGTTCTATTGTCTGGTGCCGCTGCTGCTGCGGCGCGCGTCCGCCGCGTTCTTCAACCTGTCCATGCTGACGATGAACTGCTGGGGGGTCGCGGTCGGCGTGCTGCTTTTCCGGTATCAGGTCGGCTGGGCGTACCCCGTGGCGTTCGCGTTGATAGTCGCCGGCCAGGGGGTGTATTTTCTCGGCGCGGCCCCGGTCTCCGGCGGCGGTGCGGGCGGGGGCGAGAAAAAGAAGCCTTGGGTGAGATCCTATTCTGGGTCGGGGAGGGTGGATACGGGACGAAGGGGCCAGAGGCTTGGAGGATTGGAGGCTTTGGAGGAGGAGGAGCCGTTGCTGTTGCGCCGGGAAGAACAGGAGGAGGCCGGGGAAAGGGTTTCGGTGGTTTGATGGGTCGGGCTGGGAGCCACGGTCTCTGGCGCTGGGATGCGCTGGGCTGCTTGGGATTCATATTTCCGGACGGGGCTTGGGTTCTTCGCGTAAATGACTGAACGACTTTACGACGAGCTCTTTCATATAGAACACGATATGCGAGCATGATAGACTAGATTATGAGAGGGAGTCAGATGTTGAGCTACATGGTTGTCTGCTTCTAGAAATGTTATGTGATACACCTCTATTCCTTAGTATTATTGACCAGGTGCGCCGCCGAGCACTCTACCGAGGGTGGGAGACAAGTGGGTGGCCGAGCAAACATCCAAGCAGTCAAGATGGATTCATGAGTGAAGCCATTCGCGGAAGAGATTTACAGCAATCACCCCCGCCGCCAGCAACTTCAATGAAGATTGAAGTACCCCATCCACAACCTCACGTCAGCTCAATACGGCAAATTTCCTAGGCCCTAGACACCGGAACCATACATTACGACGAAAGAGATGTAACCCGTACCTTATGACAGAACACAAATAGAAACATGAACCATATGAACCTATCAACGCACAGAACCACAAACTTGAAACAGAAACACAAGACATTCCAGAAAACCTCGGCAGATCAACAGACTCCAAACAGCTCTTTTGATAATGTTTGCCTGCTCCCCAGTATTCCTTTTGCCTTTGCCAGAAAAAACAACCAAACTAGAAAAACCCTTTTCGTACCCAGATAATAAGAAAGAAAAACACCCCATGACAAAATGACCCAACATGCTTTCGGCCAGATTCACAATCACAACCAGACCCGAACAATCAAAGAAAAGAAAAAGAAAAGAAAAAAAAAAAAAAAAAAAAACACCTGGAACCCCCCAGAGATGAGCGGGAAACAAGAGCCCGAGAGAACATACACCCCCCACAGCCAAACAAGGTAAATACAATCACCCCAAAATACCCCAACCCCTGAAGCAGTGGTGGATAGATAGATAGACTGGCGCCGAGTGAAGCGACAACCCATGATCAACAGATGCGACACCAACAAAAACAAGAAACCCCCAACATGATGCCACATAACACAAAAGGGAATACCGACTCCAGAAACCAACAGGCCAATCCCAAAGTGCGCTAGTCAGTAGAACCACCATGTACCAAATTAAACTGACTGTCCACATGTGACGGAGCGCTAGACAAAAAAATTAATCAAGACGTGTGCTTGCGACCCCACTTCTTTCAGATATGTACCATGCTCTTTCCCAATAGTCGAATCAAAGATATAACCCTCTCTTAGAACGCCACAGTACAAAAGCGAACACCCGTCCAAAGGAATAATGTTGTGAGAATCGAACCATGGCTGGTGGCTGTCGCTTAGCCCCAGACAGAGGCCTGCACGCCCAAGCCGTTCTTCGATCCCCACACGCCACTGCCGTTACCCCAACCCAGGGAAACACCACCGCCCGTGGTGTCCTTGACGCCGGCCGTCGCCGCGGCGGCGGTCGAGGCGTTGGAAACCGACGAAGCACGCTCGCTGGTAGTGGCATCACCCGAGGTGAAGCCGAATCCCAAGGGAGACGGAAGGGGAGTCGTGGAACGCTTGTTCAAGGCCGGGTTGGAAGCCTGGCCGGCACCGGTCTGTTGAAGAGGCCGGCTGCCAATGGGTCCCACAGAGCCGATGGGTCCAGTCGCCGACTTGGTCGATGCCTGTCTCGAGGAGGGAGAATCGGCGCCACCGGGAGACGAGTTTGAAGTTCCGGGCTGATCGGGAGTCTCGTACTTGCCAAAGACAGGGTTAATGCCCGAGCTGGGAGAAGAGGCGCTGTTGGCACGCGAGGGCGATTGGAGGGAGGCGGCACCGGCGGCAGCCTGAGACACGCCATCAACACTCCCTTGGACGGGAGTTTGCGCTAGACCAAAGGGGTCGGCACCGCGGGGAGACGGGCCACGAACTCCGGTGGCAGAAGTCGGGGTACCACCGGCCTGGCTGTCGGAGCGGGGGTTCTCATCGGTCAAGCTTCCAGGGGGGAAGAACGCGGGGCTGTCGTTGCCGTACAGGGCCCTATGCTGACGAGCCAGAAGCTCGCGGCGACTTTCCTCGCTCATGGCGGCTGGGCTGAGCGAGCGATCGGACTTGTTTCCAGACATTTCGGCAAGCAGGCCTTTGAGAGAAGCAGAAGAATTAAAACCATGTTCAAAAACTGGAACCATGTCCCAATGTAATATACAAGCCAGCGAATACACATATGGGCAGAGAAGATCATGGGGGGAATAGTGGAGGAAAATGCGGGCGAGGAAGAAAGAAAGAGGCTCCAAAGACAAATGCTACCACGTACTTCGGTTGTACTGTTGCTCCTGGTGATAGTTGCGGAGCTCCCTCTCACGCTGTGCTGCCATCCGACGCTTCGCTTGCATCATCTGCTCCACTTCGTTGGGACGACCCTGGAATCGTTGCGAGGCATAGAAGCCCTGGAGGGAGGGATTCGGGTGCATCCGAGAATCGAACTCGCTGATCGAGTGATGACGCTGTGACATCGCACCGGCCATGCGGGGATCTACCACAGTATTGTTCAGAATGGAATGAATTCTAGTAGGGGGCATTCATGGAATCATACCGTAGTCGGGGTACGGGCGACCCATCATCATAGGCATCGAGTCTCTCCGGGGCGCGGCCCAGAGCTTTCCGCTCTTGACGAGATTGTCAATCGCACGGTCGACCTCTGTTGGAAGTCAGCGCCACTCTTTCCACTCTTTCTCCCCTTTTCCGAACAGAGATTCCACTGTGTCTGCAGACCGCAAAAGAACACATCTGCAGTGCGTGATCTCTGATTCGCATCATACGGAAGATCCGCACAAGGTATGACATCTGGGGAGTCGGGAAATATGCGTACCATCGAACTGAGAAGAGAAGGCCGGGATTTCATCGCGCTGAGAGACGGAGCTTGATCCTGTGAGAGAGCACCGGTGTAAGCCTCGCCGTTTTACTGCTAGAAAAGATCGTTGAACGTCCTGCCAACCATACCTGACCGCGACGGGGGAGCCGGCTGTTCCCAGGAGGCCTGGCGCGTAGGAGGGGCTTGCCAGCCCTGGGCCTCGTAGTAGGACGCCATTATTCAATTGATTTGGGGACCGCGACGGACGGAACGGACGGCGTGAAGCGGAACGAAAGATTGGCGCTTGGAGGCAATCAGGAGAGGCCTGTGGGAAGGATATGAATGAGCATGAGGTCCAGAACACCTAAGCAGCGCAGCCAGTGCATTGACAAGTGATTGCAGACGACGGAGAGATAGGCGGATGACGACGGGGCGAAAGTCCAAATAAACGGGCCAGGTGTCCGAGTCACCGCACCGGGCAGATAAAAATAAGAAAAAAGGCGGAATGGCGACCAGCAATGACATCGACCGGAGTTATTCTTAGATTCCTCGGAATGACCCTTTCCCAAGTATCAAACTCTGCTTTCGAGTCTCTCCACCATGACATCCTCGGGATTCAATTGATCTTTCGCATTGCGGAGATGACAAGCGGACATGGAGTGAAGGGGTCGACATATGAAATCTGGCCGATTTGGATGGAAGGCGTAGTTGATGAGGTGTTGTGAATTTTTCCCATTGACCGTATTGTGGAAGGCGGACAAAAAAAGAAAAGACAAGACATTGTGCTTCGGGAGTGTCAGGCAAGGGGACTGACTGGATGGTTACTCACAAAAGAAGGAGTGAATGCACTCTCAATAGGATCTACCACGAGCGAACGAGGCAGAACGGCAAGCAGTGACCGACAACAACTTCTCACCCTTCAGGCACGACAGACAGATTAAGTCTGGCGTGAGAGAAATGAAGAGGGTTGGAGAAGGCGGGGGGGAGGAGAGAGAGAGTGGGTGGATGAGGGAATTAAGGACGGAGGATAGAGTGGAGGGGGGAAGAAGGGAAAGGGAAAGGGAAAGGGAAGGAAAAGGTCGGGTAGCAGAGGAGAAATGCAATCGTCCCAAACCGAGAAGAGAGAGAGAGAGGGAGAAGAGGACCGGGGGGGAGAGGGAGGGGGGGAGGCTTGAGGAGGGGACGGGGGAAAAAAAATAGAGTCTCAAGACCGAGAAACGGAGAGCGAGAGGGAAAACAGGTAGAGAGAAGGAGGAAGAGGGGGCAAGGGAAAGGAAGCGAGCAAAAGACGTGAAATTCTTCTTTTTTTTTCTGTCTTGACCGGGGATAAGAAAATCAGACTGAGAGGAAGAGGACAAGCGGCAGCAACAGCAGCAGCAATAGCAGCAACAGCGGCAGCAACAAGCAGCAGGACTTTTCTCCGCTGTAACCAAAATAATAATAAATTCCACTACTAATACTGGTAGGTAATGATTATACACCAAAGACAAGAGAGATTGAAAACATAACTCCAAACCAAGCCGAGAACTTGGTCACTGACGGAGTACTTTTTCCAGTAAGTACGGAGTACAGCACCGTCTGTTTGTTTGTCAATATCACATTTTCCTTTCCCAGGACAGGCGCACTGCATGACACGAAGAAATATATCAGAAAACGAGATCTGATGAGAGCATACCCTCTGCACCATTCTCATCTTGTTTTGGATTTCGTTTCTCTTACTTGTTTGTGAAGACCGCCGGTGTCTCCGTGGAGTACGGAGTGAGAAAAAAAAATAAAATAAAAATAAAAAAATAAAAAAAAGGGTGGACATCGGATGGATTTGAATGGATGTGGTTGGTAGAGGAGATTCGGGTTGTTGAATCGCTGGTTTCCCTCCCGATCCGAGAAATTTCTTCTCTCTCTGGCTCTCTCTTTCCCCTCTTCACAACTATTAAGTATAGGTTACTTCACTCGCAACTCGACTCTCCATATCCATGCCATCTAATCCTTAATTCATTCCTTACTCTATATCAAACAAACGAAAATTTCCCATGATTCCCATGATATGGCAGGTTATCAGATCCCACCGTGTCAAGGTGTTTCATCGGTGACAGGCAAGTATCCGTACGATAATGACTTGATTAGGGGGTCCCACATGTAATCTCCAATACGATACGCACGCACACGCAGTAGGTTGAGACTATCCGACATGGGGCTTGTGTTCGACCGGTCAGCAGCCCATCCCATCATCACCTGGGTGGTCTTGGATGCAAGTCAGCAATCGATTTCTTGCACTTTGATTACTGCCAGCCAGAGTTGCTCAACACAAAACACAAACCCCAGAATGCCTGCGAGTTGTTCATCGCTACAGTCTAAATCAAGCACCATGAACTGCTGCTGTCTCGAAAGTGAATGAAAATCATGGAATATCATGGGGATTGGATTGGAACAATCCATCTCCCCTGTCGCAACGCATCGCATCCGAACAGAAACCCTGATTTTCCGAGAATCAGTCCAATGCACAATGGCGTATGCACGGAGTTTGCCCTCTGACTGACTGACTGACTTGCTCCAAGTACAGACAGACTAGTAGAGTAGCCGGGAGCCGGGAAGAGATGAGGGGAGGAGGCAAGCAACTTTTGCCAGAATCAAAAAGCACTGGGCAGCGCGGCCTTTGTAATCAATCCTGTGTCTCTCTCTTAGCGTCGGCCCGTCAACCTTTTTTTCGGCAGAGCTGTCCCACCCTCCCTCCTCCTCTTGCTCATTTGGACGGTGGGAGAACCCAGCATGCGCTGTTGACAACCTGAACATGGTGTCACCGAAGAGAGCAGAAAGCAGACTAATATCATTCGGAGATACAAAACCTTTCACCTTCCATGAGGAATCTATTATCGTCCCAACCTCTCAAACCCATCTGGCCCCTACTGTAATCCAGATAGTCCCAACCCCGAATTACTACCCGTGCAGGCCCCCTTTCCCGCACCCCTGGGCAGGTCTAGATGGCAGCAGTAGTATCATCATCATCGTACCACACCTACGACTTCGAAGTCTGGGCACGGGCAGAGACCATGATCATGGTTCTGATCCAGGACTGTACAATACCACCGGGGGATCTGGTTTGATTAGTACAGTACTACGTACGCTGGGCACTTACTCGACAAATCGATGCTTGTCTTGCCCTTCGGCATTTCCCTGCTGATTCCGGCTGGATGATTCCGCCAAGCCGTCGTTGAACGGACCTCGAAATCATATCTTCCTCGTGGTGATTAAATTAGCCCTGGTCTGGATGACGGGTGATGCTGGCTGGCTGGCTGGCTGGCTAACCCTCTTTGGGCTGCTCCTCCTTGCGGGTAACTTTCTTCGCGGCAGCGGCAGGCAGTACTGTAGTAGTAGTCGAGTCATGACTGTTCCTCTGGGTCCTCAACTGGTGTACTCAGTCCGTACTCCGTATTTTGGGGTCTTATTCTCATTGTTTGTTGCAATGTAGCATTGAAAACTGATGCCATTCATATATCTTCCCGAATAGTGGTTTGTTGTCGCGTGTGAATCCTCTTTAAGACGCTTATTCCTGCTTCTTTTCGAGGGGCGTGGACAAACAACTACAAGGCTAAACAACCTCCTGCTCGTGTCTCGACAACCACTAACTGCCTGCAACTGCCGGGAGATCCATGATTTACCTTACTTGTCCACACACCTTCCAGAATGTAGACGGCGACACAGCTCGTGCTAATGTAGTCTGGGATAGATTGCCAGACTGCGTGGCTCCGGAGAATGGCCGGGGTCGGGGGAGGGGAGGGGAGCAACAACGCCGGACAAGGTGGGAGAGACCGTGATGACTAAACTAACACTCAGACCCTTCCCTGCAACCTTTCATAGGGAGAGGGCAGAAATATCCAAATTGAGGAAAAGGAGGGGTGGAGGGGGGGATGAGGGGAAGAAAAGAAGCGAAGGAGGGGAAAAGAAGTCCCGAATCACAAGATGGTGGGGGAACGGGCTTCTTATGCATCGTCATCGTGCTTCCAGTGGCTTGAAATGACCATGTATGCCCTTTCCGAAGGAGGCAGAAGTCAAGTTTGTAGAGGGATCAGATGGGCTATCACGCAGGCTGTCTGCCTGTCTGTCTGCAAGTGATAATCCCCGGAGGTGGGATGGGGACGGGGACGGGGATGGGGATGGGATTTCTGCGAACAGTCGACCAAGCCCATGCAGCCTTGTCTCTCTCCCTCTCCCTCTCATCTGATTGATCTTCAGATCACACGCTCGACTTTTTCTTATTTTTGTTTCATTTAGCGGCAGGCCAACGGGCATTGGGTGTGAGAGCCCCGATTGTCTCAGGGTGTTGAATCCGCGAGCCAGCGGAGAGGAAGAGAGACCTATTGTTCTACAGTACTCCGTATTCCGTACAATACTGCATTTCGATGCATTGCTTAAATGCAGCGACCCGGTCCACTGCTACACACATTACCTTATACTTCACCTTGCCGCCGCCCTATCACGTTGACACCCCCATCCGCAATACGTGACTTTTTCATCAGCGCACGGCCATGCTTACTTGCAGAAACAATGACCTCTGTGGCTGAGGATCTCTCGGGTTCGTGGGCGGGGCTGCCTGTATTTCTTACTAAAAATACTGGCGTAACTACATACTTCGTATCCTTTTCAAGTACTCGAGTGGTAGTTATACTATCATAGTGAACTTTGAGACCGGCGATGATTAAGTTACATATCAGCAACGGTCTCCGACAGTCTGGTTCTCAGCCTTCAGCCTTTCGAAGGATCAATCGCGCAGAAACATTTCGCCGCGGGGGGGGGGGGGGGGTGGAATGCCTCATCTTCTTTGTACTCGACATACTTGTGCTAGAACCACACAACGCACCCTATACTTCGGGTTCCCGGTTGGTCGATTAACCTCCTTTATAAAATTCCGTTCCTTTCATCACGCTGGATCGGGCCAAGGGCTACAGGGTCAACTCCCCTAAGCCCATGGTTCCGAACCATGTTCCGGCCATGTGCTCAGCAATATGACAGGTTGGAGCCGGTGGAAGAGAAAACAATGTACTGCTAGGTAGACTCGGTGCTTGACTGACTTTAAGGGGGGTTGGAAAGGTTGGGACCGGATCCTCTTGACTGGATTGGGCCCTGAAACTCGACCATTGTTGGAACTCGGTTGGCAATACGGGGTTGCCCTAGAATAGCGATCTTAGGTTTTGTTGTGCGGTTGACAATCACTGACCTCGAAGCTGGGGTGCAGGTTTAGTCCTGGGTCGACTGGTGGTGCGGTGTATGAGTTATCGGATGTAGTATAGATTATATGTCTCGGAGATGAGGAGCAGTTGTGTGCCCCCTCCAGCGCCTCGGCAGTAACGACGATGAACACAATTTAAGCGTTACCAATAATAGTGAGTAGTCCGTTTCTCAGGCCGCCCGTCGTGAAGCACTGAGACTGCCAGTCAAGCCAGAGGGAAAACAGGTGGGCCAAAGCTGGACCTGAAATACTTTATTAACCAGCCGGTCACGGCGCCCCGTCACACGTGCCGCATTTGTTCGGACCCAGGGCCGAGACAAGTCACTTTCCGGGAAACGCGGGGCAGGCAAGAGGGAGAAAAAAGGGGGCGAGAAAAGGTTTCTCGCTTTCTCACAACAGAAGAGAGGAAAAAAAGTTAAGTGGGCATTCAATGACTGGAATGAAAGCAGGGATCTAAAAAGGAGGAATGCAAAAACAACGGCGGCGGCGGAGGCGGCGTTGGCGGCGCTGAAGGTTTAGTTGGTTCTATCTACTACGGGGACTCCGTACTCTTCTTCCAATAGCTGGCGGGTGATTATTGTTCTTGATGCCTTTTACTGCTGCGGAACAGGAGTTCAATAGCACCCCCGATGATCGACACAAAGAATCGCTGATTAAGCTGGCGAGAGGATCGTAGCTTCCATCTAGATCCCTCGATTCGACAGGTGTGTTGGGATAGGCGCGTTTGGATTCAATAAAGCTAATCCTTCCTCTCATCACTCCTATCTCAAAGTGGATTTTGTGGGAGCATCGCTGGGGCTGAAGGCATGGGGCAGGACATTTATCCATGCCAACCAATGTATGCAAGTCGCGGAGAAATGCATGTCTATTGAATGTGACAGGGTGGAGGGAGCTCCGCGCCAGTGATTCGCAGGACTTTGCCGCATTGATTGCGGCAGTTGAGGTGGTTCAGGTTGGTTCTTGGAGCGATGAACAAATGCGCAAGACAGAGAAATGAATCTGCGAGGGAGGGAGAAAGCGATCGCCTTGAAGAGGTGATAAATTGTGTGCCTAAGGAATGATGATATATGCCGGGAGCACAAATATACTAGCATCATAATGAAAGAATTAAGAACATACCTCACTATGAATCAGAGTCCACCGGGTTTCCATTACCGGAGGATGCAGCAGCAGCAGCAGCCTCTGCCCCTGCTGCAGTTCAACGGGCGCTGCAGTAGAACAATGAGACCCTTTTAGTGCTAAGCCGGCCAAGAATAACTTAGTCCATAATACCAGACCTAGTGCCAAACTACCTGTCATCTATTCGGGACTGGCTGGGTTGGATGGAAGCCGTGAAGGAGTATGTCTCTTCCACCTGTAAGATGAGAGTAGAGGAGAGTGACTGCGCTGACTCGGAACGTGTTGGTGACCCTTCACTAAATGGTGCTGTCTGAGTTTCCCCCTTTCAAGTCTGATCCGCCCCTCCCTCCAAGCATTGGCCCTTTTTTGGTTTCTACTGTGTATATTGTCTTCAGTTTGATCACCCGTTTCAGCTGCTGAGTCCTTATTGATAGGAACGGTCTTTGTCCTCGGCTTTTGTTTCGAGATTCTGTTCAAGATAGCCCTGAGAGTGAGCCTGCTGAAAACATGTTTGTTCATTTGAGTTACTCTTATCGCTGACGAGGTAATTCCTCAAGTTGTGACAGTCTTCAAGCTGCGGCGCAAGTTGTTAAGTTGTTGTGAGTAAACCGTCACGTCGTTAGCTCCTACCCCGGCGCAACACAGTGCATACTTTAGTCAAGTGCAGTGACTGCAGCGACTGCCGCTGTGCCGGCCGTGCCCGTTTCGACAGCAGTTACCGCCGTTGGCCGGCGGGACTACAGTAGCGGGAACACTCCCCCCCCCCCCCCTCACCCCCCTGGCTCTGGCTCAGGCTCTGCTGCTGCTGCTGCTGCACTGCGGCTGCTCTCCAGCCGATCGCCCTCAATTAGATTCCCTCTTCCGCCGCCCGCTGCTCGATTAACCTTTCCCAGCAACCTACTGGCATTCCCGCTATATTTCCCACACCCTATTCAATCGATCACTACTTACTCCGTACCAGGCTGGTCCTTCAATTCTGAAAGAAAGAAAGGAACGTAACGAAAAGGATACAGTCTGAACGCACTCATTCACTGCGCTCTTTCTCTTTTTTATTCTCTTCTCCAGACTCGGATTTACCCGCCTCTACTTGTGTGGTTTTTTGGAGTGTGCCCTTACCCGCTAGAGTCTATTGCTCTCTCCCCTTAAAATACTGCAGTGTCTATCTGGTGGTCGATCGGCTGAACAATTCCACCCACGCAATTCCTCCTCCTCCTCTCTCCCCCGACAAAAAACACCTCCTCCACTTTTCTGAACTTCAAGGGAAACAGCGCCCACTTTTGTCTCGCTTTCTTCCCCTTGATTTCTTCATTTTTGTTTCTCTTCAATTCCTTTCGTGGTGGTGGAAATCCCACCTCCGGGGTTGTGAACTCTTTCCTCCGTGGAAAGCAGCACAAAGACATTTTTGCTGCACCTCCCCCCTCCTCCTACGTCGCCGGCCGATTGCTCTGTCGATTTCCCCTCGAAACCCGTTTGCCTTCTTCCTCCCTTCCTCCAGCACTTTTCGCCTTGCAGGCACGCCGTCGCCGTTTCCCTCGGTTACGCATTTCGGTGCATACGATCGTTGACGGGTTATCTATTCCCCGGTAGTTGAACGGTTTCTGGTCCGCAAAGTTGGAATTTCCTCGGTGGATCTGCGCACCCACGCCATTTGAGCACGACAACAGCGGGTTTTCTTCCGATCGCACCTTCTTGGAGGCCAACGTTGGCGGCAACGTTGGAGTCACTATATGCTCTCAGACACCCATGGGAATGCTAATATCTCTTCCGTACAAGGTGGAAAGTCTCCGCTAGCCTCGGAAAAGGCCTCGATGATGCCGTGGAAGTTATCGACCAATACGTCTCCGGAGGCAAAGAACCGCCCCCCATTGTCTTCGCAACAATCGAACTCATTGCCCTCCACGCCGTACCAACATGCGCGGAAAATCTCCTTTCATTCCCGATCGCCCTCGCCTCCCCACGGGAGCACCTCCCCCCGCTCCACCCACTCAGAGTCCACCCACCTCCCCCCTTCGATGCGAAAACAGTATGGCGGCTGCAAGTACGAGACGGCAATGGCTTTCTTCCGGAGACGAATACCGTACTCCATAGGGGCCGACTTGTTGCCGGAGGAGAAGGAGGGCTTGAAGGAGCGCCTGGAGCCCGAGGAGGAACAAAGGCTCACGGCCGACATGCTGGAGGTCTACGACCGACTGTTACCATCAGCGGAGAGCGACGACCGACGGCGGCAACTCGTCCGCAAGCTGGAAAAACTGTTCAATGATCAGTGGCCCGGATGTAATATTAAGGTTCATGTTTTTGGGTCGTCGGGGAATAAACTCTGTTCGAGTGATTCGGATGGTATGTACTTGGCTGCCACCCGGGCAGGGGTGGGAGTTGATGACCCCCCACGTGAGGACTGGCCGCTGACTCGAGGTATAGTTGACATCTGTATAACCACCACCTATAAAGAGCTGGAGCACGTGTGTCTGCTGGCGGAGGTTCTCGCAAAACGTAAGGAGACTGTTTCGATCTTGATCTTGATCTGTGCCGCAACTCTAACGGTGATGCACTACAGATGGCATGGAGCGAGTCGTTTGCGTTTCGCACGCCAAAGTCCCCATAGTTAAGATCTGGGACCCGGAGCTGCAATTAGCATGTGACATGAACGTCAACAATACCATGGCTTTGGAGAACACGCGGATGGTCCGGACGTATGTAGAGTTGGACGAGCGCATTCGGCCCCTGGCCATGATCGTGAAACATTGGACGAAGCGGAGGATATTGAATGATGCCGGTACGTGTCAGAATCTGGATCCATGGCATGCATCGCACGCTCCATTCGCCGCTCTTTTCTTGCCCCGCTGCAGTGGCCTCTCCTTGTTTGATGGCTGACACTGACCCATTGGATTTCAGGACTTGGAGGCACCCTGAGTTCTTATACGTGGATCTGTCTGATTATCAATTTCTTGCAAACGCGGGATCCTCCCATTCTGCCGAGCCTCCAGGCTCGACCTCACAAGAAGAAAACAACAGCGGACGGAATTGTTTGCTCCTTCGATGATGATCTTGATTCCCTCGTCGGTTTTGGACGACAAAACAAGCAGTCCCTTGGAGAGTTGCTCTTCCAATTCTTTCGGTACTACGGCCATGAGCTGGACTACGAGAAAAACGTGATCTCCGTGAGGGAGGGAAAGCTCTTGTCAAAGGAGGCTAAGAGATGGCACTTGTTGCAAAACAATCGCCTGTGTGTTGAAGAACCTTTCAACACGTCTCGAAACCTGGGTAACACCGCGGACGATACGTCATTTCGGGGGGTTCACATGGAGCTCCGCCGGGCCTTCAAGGCCGTTTCCGAGGGCAACCTGGAGCTTTGCTGCGAACAGTACGAGTACCCGCCAGAAGAGGAGCGTTCATGGGAAAGACCTCCCCCGCAACCGCGGCCGGTCATCACTGCAGCACCACCACCCTCTCGAGGTGGTCGTGGGGGCGGTCGAGGTGGAAGACATTCGAATCAATTCGGCCGCGGCGGAAATTCTGGTGGCCGGAGGGCTTCCAACACCCCCAATAAGTCGAATAGCTTCCGACAACCCAACGGTATGAGTGCGTCCGAACTATCTTTGCAAGCTCAGCATGCCCAATATCTCCTACATGATCATCTCTACCAACAAATTCAGATTCTTCAAGCCCAGGAACAAGAACTGCGACTCCAACTGCAAAATCAGGCGCTCTTGACAGGACGTCCTCCGCCTGTCCTCATTCGGCAACCGTTCATCCAGTTCCCAATGCCCCAGCAGCAGGAAACCTCTACAGAGGACAACTCACGGTCAAGATCCGGAACAACGAATCATCAAACGCACGGTGCATCACTCCGTCAGCCGGTCTACTATAGTGCCCCGTACCTCCCCGTCACTGTTCCAGGTGTGCAAGGGAGCAGCACCAATCCACCGTCGCCGTCAGCAACCACTGCAATGCCGGACCTGAGACGCAGTCCTCGCCGGTCATCAGTAGCAAATGGGTCACCAAGCGGGTCACTGCGGGCACATTCGCAACCGGCACGCCCTGTCAACTCCCTCCCAAGCTATGCTCCGCTCTACTCTATCTCTCAAGCAGCGGACGGCTCGCCGACGTCGAAGTCGCGCAACATGCCTGGTTCTCCAGACGGCACGCAGGCAGAGAACGAAAGCTCCTTCATGCCCAGCAGCCTACCCAACGTTTCTCGCTCGGGTTATTTCGACGAGAGCCGAACGAACGAATATATGGGTTATTTCCTGGCGACCTCTCCGCAATTGCAGGCGTATCACCAGAACACTCTGTTGTCCTCCCTCTCGTCTCCGGTGGGGCTTACAATGCAGAACGGTGGCATGATGCCCTTTGTCGGAAGTTCCCAGGAATACATGCAGTCTATGTCTTCCAACGAGGTAGCTGGCCAGGGCGTAGACGGTGCTAACGCCTTTCCTACCAAGTCTGCTTCCTCGCAACAGCGTGCATCCTCTCGATCGGCACCCTCAGGGGATCGTGGCGGCCCATTGATCGTGGATGGCTCTGTGCCTCCCAGTGAACCGCGTCTCTCAGCCTCAGCAGAACACTATGACCCGTATGCTACCATGAGCCATTGTACATCCGCCTCGGATGAGATCAACACGGACACTCCTGCCAGTGTCTCCGACTCGTTTTCCCAAGACTATCCGGATAACAGCTCCGTCGAGATTGACCCGGCACCTTATTTCGCACGGCAAGGGATTGAGTCATATCCTACAGGCAAAGTCAGCGATCCCTTTGTCAATGGCCATGGAGGAAAGCATAGTCTGCTTTCCAGCCGTCTGCAAAGTCTGCATCTGTCAAATTCAGAGAAGGTAGCCGAGCCTGTGGCTCGTGGTGGATCCGAGAAACCTAAGACTGTCCAGAGTCAACAGGAATCGCACAAAGAGGCTTCCCGACCGAGACAGGTCCATGGACCAGAGAAAGGACCGTCGACCTCGAGTACTTCTTCAGTGACGGAACAGCAACCTGCAATGTCTACTGGGAAGCGCCGTGTCAACGGCGTTGAGTCATCGGAAAGACCCAATGGAGGTACCCACAAGGCCAAATCCAAGAATCACAATTCTTCGTCTGGGCCCGGCGACAACGAGAGACGAAATGCGGGTTCGCAGCCACGAAAGCCAAACGGGGTTAGTTCCACACAGGATTCCGCAGTGAACCATGCCAGCAGCGGCTGGCAGATGCCCAAGAGCAGAAAGCCGAAAAGGAATGCCAAGCACTCTACGGAGCACCGACATGGCTTGCAGAGTGGCGCTGAGCCACTTCCTGCGGATGAATCTCTGAGAAAAGGCGGCTGAAGACGTGACTGAACTCGGTCTATGCTTCGCATTGCGACTGTTGCGCGTTGCAGTGCAGAACGTGCCCCGTGCTGTCCGCCTTCCCGTGGTCGAGCTGAGTCGCCGACATGTTTGGTTCGAGAATTGATCTCAATACATACATCAAAAAGTCTGTGCGATGTGACACAGCTTTTGTGCACCTTCTATCGCAGCGCGATCTTTCCGTTTATTGCGAAACTCAATCTTTCTGCCAACTATCCTCCCCCCTGCGAGGGAAGGTGTTTTGGTAGTGTATAAACGAGGCGACGTCCTCATGCAGATGATATGATTTCGGTTGCACTTGCTTCGCTACCTTTTCATGGTGGTATATGACTCTTTGCTTTTCATTCTCTTCTTTTTTTTCGTGTTGAATATTGGCGTTTTGCAAGGTTAAATAACGGAAATTGGCAAACAGGGGGTATGGCTGGCTACCACGGGTTATTCGCATGAATTGCATACGGTATATGTGCCCCGTTCTTCATCTTCTTCGTTCGACTTTTTTTTTTCTTTTTTCGTCGACTGCACTGCCCGGATTCGGCAGGCTATCAACATCTTTTCGCAACGTCTCTTTGTGCACAAAACGGGAAACGGAATACACAAAAACATCCACCAAATATGGTGCGCGGGGACCCTCGATATACAAAAATGGAGCGCAGGCATTGTCTCTTATACATACAGGCCCCTTTCTCTTGCTTTTCTCTTGATTGTTGTTCTATTTTGCTCTTGTGTGCTGTGACTGGCAACGCATCTTTGAATATTATATCCGACCGGCATGATCATCACCATCATCAGTTATCATTGTCAATATACCAACATAGCAGGGTGCCAGGCGAGTGGGTTTATTGCTTTTGTTGTCTGCTCATCCTTACTTGCATACCTCGATTGTTTTATGTCATGTGTGTTTGTGTTTCTACTACTGAGAAAACACCCTTTTTTTTCTGCCCTGCTATTTTATTCCTCGGTTTCACAATTTCTACAAGAGGGAGAATGCAGATGGGGAGATGTTTAGACATTGGAAAATTTCACAGAAGGCAGAAATATCTGAAAGAAATGAAAAAAAAAATTGACAAATACACATGAACCATCGCTATTCTCATTTCTTGGTTTTTTCTCCAAGGATGTTGATGTTGATAGATGGATAAATCCGTGCTGGATGTGGGTTCGCCCGGAAATCGGCCGGAAGTGCGGTAGTTTGGACTAGGGCGGACGGGAGCGACCAAAATGGTGCCTCCACCCAACTTCGCTTTGCAAACCTTCCCGCAAAATAATTGTCCGCCCTCATCTCGACTTTGGATTCAATTGGCATCCCCCCCTCTATTCCTCCCCCACTTGTCTTCCCCGTGGGCTCCTCTTGGGTCTCACCATTGACCTCTCTCGGTCACCTCGACCTCATAGACCTGCCTGTGCTCATGGTATAGGTGCTGCAGTCTTCCACGGGTCTGCGATGCCTTGAAATCAGACCATCATGACCCCCGAATCAGCAGCAGCCGCCCGCGGCACCACAACACCGGCCGTCCCCTCGCGCAACGCCCTTCGGGTCCTACGACGACTGGCTCTCGCCGGATCTACGGTGGGCGGGTTCTGTACCATTGCGGCCGTGACATACGATGTGCACCGCCGGGTCACCATTGCCGAACGCATCGTCGAGAATAAGCGCGCTCTCCATGCCTCCGCCCCCAACTACGATGCTACGGCCGCTGCGAGAAGGCTCGCTCGCATGATGGAGGCCGCCGAGGCCGGTGAGTTCATGGGGCTGGAGTCCCTGAAGGACCAGAATCGTCGCGCTGCATCACAGCCAACAGCAACGACAACGCCAACGCCAGAAGTGAACAATCATTCGTCCGACCGCACAACAACAACAACAACAACAACAACGACAAATTCCTTTCAGGACATGTATATCCCCTTACCGGGTGGTGGTGGTGACAGTAGTGCGTCGTCGTCCGCTGTGGTGGAGAAGTTGCTGAAAGATACGAGACCGGGACCGATGAACCCGCAGGTGCAGACTCCTGGGCTCGCTGATGGCCTGGGCTCCCTTGGCAGTAGCGGCAGTAGCGCGAGCGAGTTTCAAAAGGTCGCGCCTGGCACATTTGGGGATAGTCTTACGGATGAGAAGGCGCTGATGGATACTCTGGAAGACCAGCCGGTTACGTGGCAGATGCAATGGTTGCTGACCAATGACCGCCCCGTGTACGCGGCGCAGTTGTTTCTCGAGACGCACCCCGAGACACACCAGCACCTGGCTCCGGAACGACGGCAGCTGGCGGAACAGGTGTTTTTCGCCAATTGCAAGGCCGGGAATGTGCATCTGGCGCGGAATGTCTTCGAGCGGGTGGAAGCGGTGGACCAGGTCTCGTTTGAGATGTGGAGGACCATGATTTTGACGCTGGCGAAGAAAGGTGCCATCGAGTCTGCGGCTGCGATCTACACGCGCTACATGCACAGATTCAAGGCCTCGCCGGAGATGATCGACATTGTGCTCCGCTGTCTGGTCGAGTCGCACCGACTGACCACGGCGAAATGGTTTCTTCTCCGGAATCTACAGTATGATCGCGGCTGTGGCCTGTGCGGAGCGTACCTGACGGGACTCTGGAGGAAGACGAGAAGCATAGAGCTGCTCAACGGTCAACTGAGCAAGCTGTTGCGGGTCCTCATGCGCCTCGGGAAGCAGCCTACCGATAAACTGTTCAACCCGGTCATCAAGGCATACGTTGAGTTTGGCCGCCTCGCCGACGCCGAAGCCCTGGCGAACGAAATGACGCGGAACCATGGAATCCCGCCTCGCTGCCGGACCAAAGGGCTCCTGTTGCTGGGCAAGGCCCTGGAGTGCGATTGGGAGGGGGTTCGTGCCGGCTTCGAAGAGATGCACCAACTCCGCCTGGTCTACAGATCGGCCGACTTCATCCCGGTCTTTGACCGCATCTTCCTCGAATACTGGCCGACGCACACTGCGGAGGAGATCCGGACATGGCTGTATGGCTACTTGACCGAATTCGAGATCGTCCCCGATCGGGTCCTGTACAAGCACATTCTGGAGGCCTTAGTGCACAAGGGCGATCGGGAGATGGTCTATGAGTTTCTGCGCTTCGCTAAGGAACGCCAATGGCCGAAACTCATGGATGAATTTGCATTCCTGGAAATGCTGCGATCCCGGCGCCACGCGCTCGAGCATTCACCGATCGGTTTCTGGCAGATGCTGCAAGCCGCGCGCATGAAGTACGGCCAGGCCGCCGCTTCACAGCGGATTCTGGGGTATGATCAACACTCCTTCCCGAGTCCGGAGGTCAACAAGATGCCGTTCACCGAGGACTCATTGCCCTTCTTCCAACGGATGCAGCAAGAAACACAGACGTCGAGGCCGGTGGATCAATATCAGAAAGTCCACCGGGTGATGGCGCATTACATGCATAACGGCAAGTTCGTCGAGGCGTTGAAGCGGTACGAGGCTGCAAAAGCTGCCAGGTTTCACTTCAAGCAGGTGCACGTGGAGCTGGCCGTCATCGCTACTATCATCGAGAAGGGTATCGAGGCAGCCCGAGAGCTGATTGATTCCGACTGGAGGAGCATTCGCAACGTGACCCGGTTTCTCCCCCAATACTTCCGCCAGGTGACGGAGATTGACACGCAGGCCACGAACGAACACATCAAACTCGCAGTCTTCCGCTTCTATGACATCTGCTCGTCCGGGAAAGATATGGTCGTCAAGCACCACATGCTGGTTGCGCTCTGCCGGCGTCTGATCCATGAAGACAAGCCCGATCTGGCCATCGAGCTTCTGTCCGCGATCTATATGTCCCGCCACCAGAAAACCCTGGCCTTCGATGGGCCCTGTCTGAAGATGTTTCTGCGGGCGTTTACCTTGGCCGACAACCCGCTGGGTGTCCGGTGGTGCCTCATGACGGCGTTGACCTGGCCGAACATCGGCACCGACTTCACCATCGAAGTGCGGCGGATCATTGGGCGGTTGCGCCACCGCACGGAAAGCAACCTGACCAACATGCACTACATGATCGAACGGGAGGAATATCTCACCCACGTGGCCGACATGGTTGTCCGGAAGGTCGAAGGCAAGGATGACTCAATGTCGGATCTGATACACAACCCCCGACTCAAGAATCTCCGGCGCAACATCATCAAGCGTCCCCCTACGGCGATCAAAGCCTACCGACTGGATGAAGTGGACAGGGCGGTCACCGAGTGGGACGAGGAATATGAATTGCACGCCGCGCTGGGAGAGATTCAAAATGTTCGCGTGCGGGCTATTGCCAACCTTACCGAGGAGCAATACCTGGATCTCGAGTGGACAGAGGGCGACCTAGAGAGAGGAGAAGAGCCCGAGCAAGGGCAGGAGCGAGAAAAAGAACAATGATTTGACAGATGGTAGATGCCATTGAAGGGGTTGATTACGAGTGCCCTTTTCTAGGCTATGTCCTACTACAGCTGGGGGGGAGATTCACAATCTTCATCATATTGTGTTTATGTATATAGGTGGGTAGGTTCACGGGGGGACCAATCAGTTTGGGATTATTGTACTGTACGATAGCGGTGTCCGAGTCAATGACGGTTCTGAGGGGAAGATACCAATTTGAATTGATTATGGGTTCTATAGTAGGAGAATGAGTCGATGTTTACTGCGATGAATCCGAGAAAAGTAAGAGAGGTAACCTTGCCAGGTGAAGAGAAGTAAGAGAGGATCGTACGGTGCCTGAAATTACTGAGTTGGGAATAGCCGCCGTTCCTAACTTACTATTCTTTTTCACATGTCAGGGTGTCACGCCACTCACTCACTCATTGTTGGCCAGCCAGACTGTCTCTCTCTCCCTCTCTCCGCCCGCACTTTTTCTTTCTCCAAACAACACCCCCCCCCCCCTTTCTCATCTCACTCGAAACCAGCCACCCTCTCCCTTTTGACTACTCTTCTCCCGTGTTGAAGACGAAATATGCCCTGCCCTCTCTTCCGAACTGCCTCGTCTCGTCGAATTTGACCCCATTCCGTCTTCTTTCATCGCACAATGGCCACCGCGGTCGCCAATGGCCACGCCACCCCCTCCGCCGATGCGGCCAAACAACGGAGACAGATCCACCACCACGCCGACGTCGTCATCGTGGGCGCCGGGATTCTCGGATGCGCCCTCGCCGTGACACTGGGGAGACAAGGCCGGAGTGTGCTGCTGCTGGAGAACTCGTTAAAGGAGCCCGATCGCATCGTGGGCGAACTGCTGCAACCCGGTGGTGTCCAGGCCCTGGAGCAGCTGGGTCTCGCCGACTGTCTGGAGGATATCGACGCGATCCCCGTGGAGGGGTACTACATCACATACCACGGCCAGCCGGTGGAGATTCCGTACTCGCAGGCCTCGCCGACGACGCCGCCGCCCCGGGGCCGCTCCTTCCACCACGGCCGGTTCGTGATGAAGCTGCGCGGCGCGGCGCTGGCGTGCCCCAACGTCACGGTGGTCGAGACCAAGGCCACGGAGCTGGTCACTTGCTCGCACACCAAGCAGGTTCTGGGTGTCGAGTGCGTGACCAAGGACGGCCAGGCGGACTGCTACTTCGGCCACCTCACCGTCGTGGCGGACGGCTACGCCTCCAAGTTCCGCAAGCAACACCACGCCCGCACCCCCGAGGTGCGCTCGCGCTTCTGGGGGCTGGAGCTGATCGACCCCGTCATGCCCAAACCCTACTACGGCCATGTGCTGCTCAGCAACGACGCCCCGATCCTCATCTACCAGATCGGCACCCACGAGACCCGCATCCTGATCGATATCCCCGAGAATCTGCCGTCGGCCTCCGTCAAGAACGGCGGCGTCAAGGCCCACATGCGCAACGTCGTCCTCCCTTCGTTGCCGGAATCCGTCCGCCCTTCCTTCGAGGCTGCCCTCGAAAAGGGCCCGCTGCGCTCCATGCCCAACTCCTATCTGCCCAGTGCGCGCAACCAGACCCCCGGGCTGGTCATCCTGGGCGATGCCCTCAACATGCGTCACCCGCTGACCGGCGGCGGCATGACTGTCGCGTTCAACGATGTTGTCGTGCTGCGCGACCTGCTGAGCCCCGAGAAGGTGCCCAGCTTCAGCGACACCGAGAAGGTCATCCGGCAGTTGTCCTCGTTCCACTGGCAGCGCAAGAACGGATCCTCGGTCATCAATATCCTTGCCATGGCGTTGTACAGTCTTTTTGCTGCTGACGGTTAGTGCCCGTGCCCTGCCCCTTTCCCTGTTGCCCCCCTGCTTTCGCATGTCAAACATATAATCGCATGAACTAACACACCGCGTGCAGATGAACACCTCCGCGCCCTCCAACGCGGCTGCTTCCGCTACTTCCAACTGGGCATGACGTCCGGCCCCGTGGGCCTGCTGGCGGGCATGACCAAGAAACCGGCCGTGCTGTTCGGCCACTTCTTCTCCGTGGCCTTCCTGTCGCTGTGGCTGCTGATCGCCGAGTCACCGCTGTACAAACTGCCGCTGGTGCTGTGGCAATGTGTCATGGTTTTCTGGACGGCGTGCGTGGTGATCTTTCCGTACATGCTGATCGAAGCTTTTTGCTGATGCTGATGCTTATGTGGATATCCCCCTTTGCCTTTTTTGCCTCCTGTATAATATTGACTTCGGTGTCATTGAGTTAACTATATTAATACCTTATTTTTGTTTTTTCGTGTCGTGGGTTGGTTGGTTGGGTGTCTAGTATATATGCGTGCTACGTTTTTTTGTTTTGTGTGTGATAGAATAATAAGGATATCGTGTATTTAATGATAGCATTAGACCACAGGGTTATATTGGGTTCAGACTTTGGGTAGTAGAGGTGTATAGCATAGTCCAGCCTCTAGGAGTATATATAGAAACGTGGCTTGTGGTTTAACGGGGTATAGCTTACCTGAGCTACATGAGACCCTGAGATTGTGGTCAAGGTAGAACCGGCTCGTCCGCCAACCGCACTCCCTCCGCTGCTTCACTTTCTGGAGGTTCCTCCGACTCCCCCCTGTTTGGGTGGACTCCTTCCTCATTGTACTGGGGCGCCGAGGACCGCAACGACTCATCATCCAGTCCCACTACCCAGACACATATCAATTGTTAGCATACCCCTGAGAAGAACTGTCTGCACAAGAAGCCATCTGCACAAAACCCCAGTAAGGAAACAAGGGAAGAACTAACCGAAAGGCCGAATCCACCAGCTCGCCGCCGACGCGGCCCCAAACACCGCCGCCAGCACCACAAAGATGGCCGGGGTGAACCGGCCGACGGTGACGCTGTAGATGAGCGAACACACGGTCGGGGCAAAGATGCGCGCGAGCGCGTGCAGCAGCCCCTTCGCGCCGAGGATCTGGCCCAGCCCCTCGCGGGGCACGTGCTTGGTCAGCGAGGACTGCAGCGTGGGGACGCCCATGCCGCCCAGCGCCAGGACCACGCCCGAGAAGGTCATGAGGGCGCCGTTGAAGGCGAGGGCGTAGCCGATATTGCCCAGCGTGTCGAGGAGGATGGAGATGCGGATGAGGCTGATCTCGTAGGGGGAGGAGCCGGGGATTTTCTTTTGTGCGGCGGGGTTGTGGGGGTTTTGGGGAGGTTGGAAGATGGCGGTGATGATGGGGTAGATTACGAAGAGGTTTAGGACGCGGATGATGCTGATGCTGGAGATGAAGAGGCTGGACTCCACGTTGCCCCATCCGAACTTGTACTCGGCGTACATGATGATGACCTGCGCCGAGCCGAGGGCCACGCCGAAGGCGAGGGTGTCTAGGGTCGTGAGGAGGATGATGTTCCGGCGGAGGGCCGGGGTGGCGCCCCCCGCGTTGGGGAAGAGGGGGCTCGGTCGCCCGACGGGCGGGAGGAGCACGGCGAGCGGGGTGAGGAGGTGTTTTGGGTTCAGAGTGTCCCAGATGGGTTTCGGGGGTTGGTCGTGCAAGTGCTTGCGGTGGCGGTCCCGGAAGGCGGCCTGGCGGCCGGGGGAGAGGGATTCCGGGACCAGGAGCAGGATGGTCACCAGGAAGAGGATGTGGAGGACGAGCGAGGCCGTGAAGACGTCCAGGACCTGGCCGGTGCGTTTGATCAGGACGGCGGCCAGCAGCGGGCCCGCCGCCAGCCCCGAGAACAGCGCCCCGTACAGGTAGCTGAAGGCGACGCTGCGGTGGGCGGGCAGCGTGCAGTCCGACGCGTACGAGGCCGTCAGCGCCATGATGGTCGTGAACGAGCCGCCCAGCCCGTCCACGAACGCCGCGCCCAGCAGCACGTTCACCGAGACCAGGTCCGGCTGCGCCGCCACGAACAGCGTGATCGCCTCCCCAACCACCGTCGCCAGCGTGCTCAGCGCGATCACCCGCGTCCGCCCGTGCCGGTCCGACAGGTGGCCCAGCCGCGGGCACACCAGCGCCGACAGGATCCCCGCCACCAGGTTGTAGTACAGCTGGAACCGCGCCACCTGCGACTGCACCTCCGGGATCTGGCACTGCGCGTTGTCGCTCCCGATGATCACCGGCAGGTACGTGAACCCGGGGTTCTGGCTGGCTTTCTTCGCCATGTAGTCCTTGCACACCAGCGTCACCATCAGGTTGATCTTGGGGACCGCCGTGCCCCCGAACCCCAGCATGTAGAGGATCAGAAAGGGGAAGAGCCGGAAGACCTGTTCAATGACGGTTAGCAAGGGAAGGCTTGGCAGGATATAGCGGGGGCTATAGCGTATCAATCACTTACGCTCGCCTTCCACCATTTGTGTTGCGGGCTTTCGTCCTCATGGTCGTAGTCATGGCCCGAGGGCGAGAGGCTCGTCTCGTCGGAGTCGTGCGATGGTCTAGAGTCGCCTAGTAGAGGCGTCTGTTCGTGCGTATGAAGGTCTGTCGCATCGTGGTGCTCGGAATGAGCCGAGGCTGCATTCGAACGAGCACGCAGACTCGAGCTCGAGTTGTAGTCGATCTCTGCTGGAGGGGGGTCTCCCCTGGTTTGTGGTGTAATGCCCGTCATGTTTAATCGGGCGATTTATGAGAATGAGAATGATAGTCGCACGAGAGCAATCATATAGAGTGTATATGTATATATTCGAAAGTTGCTGCCTGTAGTTCCTGGAGAAGGGGGGGGGGGGTGCGGTTGTTGTTGTTGAGAAGGGCGATAGCCACAAATTGCTTATCAATCAAGCTCAATAGACGTGGTCAGGATTGAGCCAGAGAAAGATAGATAAAAAGGATCAGTCTTCAAATGAGGAGTCGACTCGTTACCAAGTAGTGACGTGATTGACGGGACAATGGCATGCATTGGAGCCAGCCTCGGGGGGATTTCAGCCACTGGATGTTGTTGAAGCAAGGAAGTTGATAAGAAGCGGGCAGGGAACCTGGAACGTTGAAGGCGATTCGAAGCCCGATAAGAACTCAGCCGTCGGTCTCGGAGCTCCGACTTTCCGACTTTCCAGGAAATTATACTAATGTACACTCAATTATCCTCTTGTAGTCGACAATACAGCAACCAGCTACCTTTTCCAAATCACCGAGGTAATCCGGAAATCCAGAAAAGAATAAAAGAACTGTTAAACGCCTGCCTGCCTGCCTGCCTGCCTGCCTGCCTGCCTGCCTACCTGCCTGCCTGCCATCTAAAGCACTATGCATTTTTCTAAAGAACCAGGGAGGAAGCACGCTCGCCTGCAAAGAACTTCTTCTGTTCCAAGCATCGCTCACTCTTGCAGCCCTGACAACGCAGAGTCATCTGTAGCGAGCAGGGCTCCCCCTTGCGCAGATGCTCCTGGGCAACGTCCGCCAGAGCTTGGATGAAGATGGGGCTACCATTCAAGCTCTCCGCACGCTTCACCCCTGGGTGATTGGCCTCCTCCATCACTTCGAGATCCAGCTCGTAGAGGGTTTCAATGTGGTCGCTGGTGAAAGCAATAGGGACTAGAACAATGTCGGTCTGACCCCGCTTCACATATTCCTGCACTGTATCACTCGTCTGTGCTCCCAGCCAAGCCTTCGGTCCGACCTGAGACTGCCAGCACAGTCGGTAAGGGTTACTGAAGTTGAGTCGCTGCATGACTGCATGCACAGTTGCAGCAACTTCTGCCGGGTAGGGGTCACCTGAAAAAGCACAGTTAGCTACGGAATGTAATAGGTCAGTGAGACTGTCGGCCTACCTCGGTTCACAACACTCATGGGGAGACTGTGGGCCGAGAACAAGAGAACAACGCCGTCTCGCTTGTCTGCGGGATAGGTTTTCAACTGATCCTCAATGTTCTTCGCGAAAGCCTCAACCAGTCCCGGGTGCGTGGGCCACCGGTCGATCACGCTCCACTGGATGGCACCAGCCGGCTGCGCGTCGCCATTCGCCCGGGGTCCCTCCAGGCGGTTCCTCCACTTCCACAGCTCGTTCAGGGAGCTGCCCGTGGTCGAGCAGGAGTATTGCGGGTACTGCGAGAAGGCCACGGCCCGTCCACCTTTACCGTTGCCGAATCCATCCTGTAGCAATTGCGCATACATCGTCTCGGTCAAAGGCGCGGCGTAGCGGAAAGCGACGTATGGCTTGTGGGGGGCAGTCTCCGGGTTGATCTTATCCAGCAGCTTGCACATCTCCTCACACTGATACTCCGACCACTTCCTGATTGGCGAGCCTCCGCCGATCTCCGCGTACTGCTTCTGGATCTTAGGCGTTCTTCGCTTTGCGATCAGCGGTCCGAGATATGACTGTAGTCGACCCAGGGGGATCAAATCGCCGTCGGCCTGTGGTATAGATTTTGATTAGTTGGGGGATCGGTGAGAAGCCAAAGCGAACCGTCCCTCCCCGAAGACGTACAAATAATCTGCTAAGGAAGTCTTCGACTTCGCCGGTTGTTGAGGGTCCTCCCATGTTGAGGAAGACCATGGCTGTGGGGCCCTTAGAGCCGGTCGCATCTTGAGTGACTGGAGGAACTGCTGTTGCAAGGCCGTGTCTCTGTTCGTGGAAGTAATTGAACGAGGCGCGAGTTGCCGGTCGCAACAATTGCCGGGGAAGAGTGAATGGGCGGCGAAGAGCCATGGTGGTCATTTGGCGACTGCCTGAGAGGCAGTACTGCGGTCGGATATGTAAGACTGGGGAGAGTTGAGCGAATTGAAGGCACACCGATCGCGATTGAGAGATTCAGGACAGGAACGGTGGGTGCCAGGTGGCAAGCAGAAGGCCAGATGTTGAGACTGAGTGAGTGAGTGAGTGAGTGAGTGAATGGCAGCTGAGAAAGCCGGCCTGGTCGGGAAAAGCCCAGAACTGGGCGGATGACGGAGACGGAGCTCGACTCTCGTAACTCCGATGCACCAATCACCACCACCTGAGGGTCATCATTAGTACTATCGAATCTTCTTCTCATCGATGATCGGAGATCACATGATGTTCGTGTTTTCCCCGCGTCGGTCTTTCTCGCCCGCCAAACCCGCGCGTCATCGCGACCGCCATGTTAATTGAGCATGTACTCCGTACACAACCTACTACGGTAGTCTAAAGCTTCCCCGAATCGCCCAGGCAGCAGAACAATTTCAGGCAGATACACAACTCTCACTGGCCACATCTAGACATGGAACCTGATTAATTCTCTTTTAACCTCTTTCGCTCCTGGTAAAATTATCGAAATCATTGAAACTTCTTTCAAACACCTCAGTCATGGCCGACAGTAACCCACCGCGAGACGATGAAGTAGGCGAAGAGGAAGAAGAGGAGATCGATGAATCCGTACATACTTCCCTTCCGCTCCAAACTTTTCCAAACAAAGCACAGCTAGGCTGATACCCTATAGAACTACAAATCGGTGAAAGATGCGGTTCTCTTTGCGATCGAAGTTAGCGACTCCATGCTCGAGCCTCGCCCATCTGCCGACCCCAAGAAGCCCGTGGAAGAATCGCCGGTCACCGCAGCCTTGAAATGCGCATACCACTTAATGCAACAGCGAATCATTTCTAACCCACAAGATATGATGGGAGTTCTCTTGTACGGGACGCAGGCGTCCAAGTTCTACGATGAAGACGAGGGCAGCCGAGGCGACTTGTCCTATCCCAACTGCTACCTCTTCACAGACCTCGACATCCCGTCTGCGCAAGAAGTCAAGGACCTTCGAGCGCTGGTAGAAGATGAGGGAAAAGCCAGAGAGGTTCTCGTGCCGGCAGAGAAGCAAGTGTCTATGGCAAACGTCCTATTCTGTGCCAACCAGATTTTCACCTCCAAAGCGCCCAACTTCCTTTCGCGGCGGTTGTTCATAGTCACCGACAACGACAGTCCTCACACCCAAGACAAATCCTTGCGGTCTGCCGCGACAGTGCGAGCTAAGGATCTATACGATCTCGGAGTCACTATTGAGCTCTTCCCCATCTCCCAGCCCGAACATGAGTTCGACAGCTCCAAGTTCTATGACGTAAGATCTTGTCTCAGGCGGAATCGGTGCTGTACTGACTGGCTGTGAAGGATATCATCTATAAAACCTCTCCAAATGATCCCGATGCCCCTGCGTATCTACAACCGGACTCCAAAGCTTCAATGGCTACAGGGGATGGGATCTCCCTCCTCAATACCCTATTGTCTAGTGTCAACTCAAGATCCGTGCCTCGGCGCACTCATTTCTCGAATATGCCGCTAGAGCTTGGACCCAACCTCAAGATCTCAGTGTCAGGCTATATCCTCTTTCGGCGGCAAGCGCCCGCCCGGAACTGCTATGTCTGGCTTGGAGGCGAGAAGCCCGAGATTGTCAAAGGAGTCACGACTCAAATAGCCGACGACACGGCGCGCACGGTGGAGAAATGGGAGATCAGAAAGGCCTACAAGTTCGGCGGGGACCAAGTTGTCTTTACCCCCGAGGAGCAGAAGGAGTTGAAAAACTTCGGTGATCCGGTCATCCGCATCATAGGCTTCAAGCCCGCTTCTGCCCTTCCCTTCTGGGCGAACATGAAACATCCTTATTTCATATATCCGTCAGAGGAGGACTACGTGGGTTCAACCCGCGTGTTCTCCGCCTTGCATCAGACGCTTCTGCGGCAGAAGAAGATAGCTCTCGTCTGGTTCATTCCACGGAGGGCTGCCAACCCGGTCCTTGGTGCTATGATCGCCGGAGAGGAGAAGGTCGATGAGAACGGCGTGCAGAAGTATCCCCCTGGCATGTGGATTGTGCCCCTTCCGTACGCCGACGATGTTCGCCAGAACCCCGAGACCACCCTGAATGTGGCTCCAGAACCGTTGATCGACCAGATGCGTGTTATTGTCCAGCAGCTGCAACTCCCCAAGGCCTGCTACGAGCCTCTGAAATACCCGAATCCATGTAAGTGTCTGAATTGCGCTTTGGTCCGCGCGTCATTGGTCATTGACTAACTTGTTCTAGCATTACAATGGCACTATCGCATCTTACAGGCGCTGGCTCTAGACGAGGATCTCCCGGAGAAACCGGAAGACAAGACCGTCCCGAAGTATAGACAGATTGACAAGGTATGATTCTTCGCTTTTGATACCATGACTGTCACTAATTTTCAATGCCAGCGCGCTGGGGACTATGTGCTGTCATGGGCCGACGAGCTCGAGAAGCAGTACGCCACGATCGCCGTTGAGAAACCAGCATCCAGCACTCTTGTCAAGCGAGGCGCGAAGAATCGTGCCCCGGAAGACGACGCAGAGTCCAGCAAGCCAGCTAAGAAGGTCAAAGTGGAAGCCGACAATAACATTGAGGAGGAAGTGCGGCGACATTACCAGAAGAACAACCTGTCCAGGGTAACTACTATCTTGCCATGCGGTGTGTGACCACGCTAATATGTTGTGCAGCTTACGGTGAATATCCTGAAAGATTTCCTCACGTCTCATGGACGCTCTGGGGTGGGGAAGAAGGCAGATCTGATCGATCGCGTGGAGCAATTCTTAGAGTCTGGATAAGGGACCTCGGAAAGAAGGCATGATTCGAGGCGTTACGACTGTACAGTACTCGCGACCGGATAAGACATAGGGATCTATTGCATCGTCATTAGGAAACAAATATGAACGTCCTGTCAAATCATATCTGGCCAATCCGGACCATCCGGATGGGTATAATTTTGTCACTGTAGTTGCGTCGAGCAATCTCGCTACCCCTGGTCAGGCCGGCCCCTGCTTGAAGCGTGGTTGGACGATCGACCATTGCTCAGATCAGTAGCGCAGCCCACCCAACTTCTCCAGGTAAAGGAGATGAGCAGCTACTTGGAAGGTCTTTATTAGTGACAAGTGACATCATTGTTTCGTTGCAGTACGGTGGGTATAGGTGTTGAGCCGAATCCCCCACCGAGGAGGTGGAGGAGGTGGAGGAGAGGACGGGATGCTTTAGGCCAGGGGCACTCCCACGGTTCGCCCCTGGATAAGAAGCTTGGCACCCGTCTACCGCTCTAGCGGCGTACAGTGTACAGTACGATTGCTCTATACTGTACGTACTGAAGATCTGTGTGTCTCTGGCAATGGTCCTGGTTGTAGGTCTCGAACTTGCCCAAGCAATTCAAAGATTGTTGGGCGACTATAATTACGGCTAGGCGGAAGTTTATATCAAAACCTACACGAACCCCAAGCCTTCCACCGAACGCAAGGTGAGTCGGTGTCACTTCCTACAAACCTTAAGATGTGTGTGTATGAGCTGCGGCCATGCAGCATGTCATTTTACATAGCGAGTGGCATATACGGTCAACTTGGTGAGGTGTTCCTGTCGAGTGGTGACGTACGCTCGATTCCCGATCTGGCGACTGCAGCTCAGTTTCCCAGTCAGGTGGGATCACGTGCAGCAATGAGCCGAGTCACCGAGTGTAGCAAATCAGACAAACCAGACAAACCAGACAAACCACGCAAATCAGGAGGGCCAACCTGTCACTGCAGTTGGTCCCGTCAGTCCAGGATTGGATGCGTCAATCTTGTTCCAATTAAGTTCCAATTCATCCATGCCGATTGTTGACATCAAAATAACCTACTGTAGGCTTGCGCTGGTTCCAAGGTTGCTCCTGACACCCCGTAGATACTGACTTACATATTTGTATAATCGCCGGGTTGATCCCTTTCCTCCTCTCTTTTCCTGCCTTTCATTTCCATTCAATTCTCCCCATTTATGGACCATTGAGTATTACGTATCAGATCAATGGTTTGGGCGTCGTTAGTATGCCTGGATTGTCTCCATTGCACTGCAATAATTAGACTGGTGTGTGTATTCCTGAGGCCAGCCAAACACTACCCCTGCCGTCCTTTCTTTCCTTCTCTCTCCCTTCTCTCTCTCTCTCTTTCTCCTACTAGACTAGACTAGACTTACTCCTCGTCTCCTCTCCTCCTCCTCCTCTTCTCCTCTTCTCCTCTTCTTCCCTTCCTTTCAGTGTGTGTCTCCCCGCCCAACGAGTCGTCTACCGTCTCGTTGTT